TATCCCGTGCTTCCCTTCAGATGTTGACATCTTCATGATCCAGTCGATCACCAGGAGAAAGAGAAAGGGTGAGAGTAAGCAACCTTGGCTGACACCGGTCTTTACTTTGAACGACTTTGTCAACTGTCCTCCATGAACAATTTTGCAGTTTGATCCATCGTAGGAATTCTGTATGATATTGACTATTTTCTGAGGCACGCCGTAGTGTCAGTCTTCAGTCTTCAGTCTTCAGTAATAAGAATAGTAGGTTGGTGAACCTGTGTTAATCCTAACAGGTTGGCTTCCAGTGAAGGTCCAGTTTCTCTTTGAAAATATTCACTGATGAGGCTGATACCACTTGATCGGGCAAAGCGTTCCAATCATTGACTACTCGATGAGAAAAACGGAACCCCACCTTGAGTTTATTAGATCGTGGTTTATGAACTTTCTTGCTATGACCTCGGAGATTATTAGTGCTGGAGGGAGCAAAAAGATAAGACATTAACACCCAAATCATAATTAAAGATACGAAATGCCAGTATAAGGTCACCTCGAGTCCTACGATACGACAAGGGGAAAAGGTTTAAGCGTTTTAAACGCTCATCGTAAGGGAGTTTAGAAAGACCCTTCACTAATTTCGTTCCCACACGCTGGACACGCTCAAGTGAGGTAGTATCCTTTATCAGACATGGGCTAGCTGCTTGAATACAGTGCTCTAAATGTGGTCTTACATAGGTGGGATATAAAATTCGAAACATTTCCTCGTCACAGGATTTGAACGCTCGGCGAAGTGACCACAACGCACGAAAACCTTTGACAGCGGCTGCGTTGCAGTGCGCAGTTGTTTTTAAATCATGACTTATTATTACTCCTAAGTCTTTATGTTCTTGAACGCATGGAAGAGGTTTGCCATCAATAGTATAATGGTAATTATTGCCGTGACCGATGTGCATTAGCACACTCTTCCTAGAATTGATTTCTAAACCCCAATCTCGAGCCCATCTAACTAAATCGTCTAAGTCAGATTGAAGATCCAGATGATCAGCCTCACCTCTTATTGCTCTCCATATTTTGACATCATCCGAAGAAGCTTCCATAGGGTTGTTCTGTCCACGCTATCAAATGCTTTTTCGTAGTCAATAAAGTTGATGAAGAGTGATGAATTCCATTCAATTGATTGTTCCACAATGATCCGTAGAGTTTTAATTCTAATAATGACATTATTATTCATTATCTAAAGATAAAAATCGTCGTAAGAGACCTATCTACATTCACATCAGATTAGTTTGTTTAAGAATTTAATGTCTATTAAAAATCCTATTGTTGAAATGATACTAAATTACAAAATATAAGTATTGAAATCAATTGCAAAGATCCAAATAAGTTAAATATAACGAATTTCATCTTACTAACATCATATTGACATTGTATCATCGGTTGAAACTCTCATTGTTTTCATATATAAATTTAACTAAACATAATTCAAATCAAAATGCATGTTGATGGAATTTTCAGAATTGCATTAGACAACAGAACATAATTAATCTGGTACTGGATTAGCTTTCAGATAATTCCTTAACTTTCATACATTAATCGTCTTGATAGCCCTTATTTAAATAAATCCCAACAGCATATGAATTCTGGGAGGCAATATTATAAGCCAACGATAATTTATTATTAAATAATACAGATCACTTAATCAAAAGCAAACCAATCGAATTCGAAAAGAAATGCCAATGTGACCGGACGAATACAAAGGTGAATTGAGTGTCGAATAGTAAAATTGAATGGAGAGTCGAATCAATAAATATGATTCAAAATTGTATATATGTATAGGAAAGTGAATTGTTTATCTAAGTGATTTAAGCAATTAATGTTTAAGCTGAAAAGATGGTTATGTGCGTAGTCTGTCACATGTGATTAAACATACATGTTCATATCAAGAGATACAAATTTTTTACTGTTTGAATAACTTTGTCTGTTAAATAAGTTAACTGAAGGGGCTTGACAAAATTGAACGTAAACCAAATTAAGTGTAGAAGAGGTGCTGTAATCTAATTTTTTATCTTATCCGAAATTACTAATTTTTAGGGATTTGCCAATCATAAGTGTAATGATGATTCCAGATGCATCAAATATACATCACTTTTTTACATAGAGACATTATCAACAAGTAAGTTAGACGATGATTGAATTTCTTTAGGACTGAGATATCCTCACTAATTGATCATTGATTAATAACCATTTCACATTTGTTTAATCTTTGGTATTGATCGGATTCTATCGATCAATTATTGGAAACTGAAAATCCTTGACAATCAATAACACATCAATCAATTTTTCCATATACCATGGATTTCACTTCACCTTCAAATCTCGAATTCTACCGACGAATTCTAAATGATCTCTTATATTGTGTTATACGAAGTCTTTGTGTAGTAGCTTTAGAATCTCAACTAGTTGTTTTGCAGCTGCATTATAAAATGAATTGACTATATCTAGGACTAGGCGAAATGGCAGACCAATTTTATGTACTATTTGAAGGTCAAAAGAACGAGGCCACCAAAAAGGCTGGATGACCTTTGGCCCGACTGTTAAATAGTTTGAAAAAAGTTGGTGCATTCTCCCAGGACTTATACACAAAAACTAGACCCATGGTTATGGATATACTTAGACTTTGTGACCCGTGAATTACAAAATCGAGGAACGAGAATGAGTATTTCCATCTCCTCTCTCAAGAAACTAATACTCAGACGAACTATGAGTATGCGCTTTTTGTTTTATAAAGACATATATGGTCATCGTGACGGTGTCGCAACGGGACCATTATTAAATCCAATAGTAGATGATTTCTTGTTGAGAAAATTAGAAAACTATGCTCTAAAAGATGTGACAGGCAAACTAAAAAATTTTATTGTCGCTATTTGGATGATAGATGATTAGTTACAAAAAAAACAAAAGCAGGCTCAAAGGCTACTAAAACATTTAGTATAGTCCAACAAACAATTACTTTACAAAGGAAAAAAAATGTGCTGCAACTCCTACTGACAGTAGGAACTGACTGTTCAATAAGAAGTGTTTAGATCCTTTATCGAACCCCGTTTGTATTGCACTGGGCAGTAACTATAATAACCAAGGTATGCTCCTATCCAAATTGGTTTCCTAAAAATCGATCGTTTAAATTGAACCGTCTTCTCGTCCACTTATAAGTATATCCAAGAAAGGGAGCTGATCGTTCTTCTCCTCTTCGCGTGATACATTCATGTGATTTTTGGACGGTGTTAAGCTTATTCAACAAACTACTCATATCGTCCTCTCTTTCGCAGATAATTAAGATGTCATCCAACAATCTCCTATGAAGAAACGTGTTTTCAACTAGGCTTTCAGTTACATTCTCAACATGTATCATCGACACATCTGCTAATAATGGTCCAATCGAATTAAGCATAACAACCCTATCGATCTGGCAAAAGTATTCATCATGAAATGTGAACTGGACTTTGCCAGTACATAATGGTGGTAAAGCTTTAAGGGTTTTCAAATGAACAGGCAGGCAATTTAAGGTTGTTCAAAGATATTTAGTCACATAATATATCAATAGTGATTATCAAAGGTATATTTGTGAACAAGAAATTCACATCAAATGAACACATTGTCTTTCCTTTGATATTAATATCATTTATATGACCGACCAGAAATCTTGTCAGTTATTAAGTAGTAAGAAGCTCCATTTTGGGGGTATCGAGGTGTTACCAGTCATCACAGAGATAGAACTTCAGCGTTTAAAGTTGTTTATAAATCATGTCGATATTCAATTTCAACTCATATGTAACTACTTGTGATAATTAACTGATTATGAATAGTCACCTTAGTTTTAAATTTAACTTTACAGACTTTTTGTAACTAAATGATTATTACATTTGTTAAAATGACTCGCTACCATCTAATTGGTATTAGTGTAGAGCTCTAATAAAGATCTAAGTGAAAAACAAAATTCTTTTACTCAACTTATGCTTTATAGAACAGATTTGATTCACTCTGTTATAAGCTGAAACTATTGTATTGAACAGAACAGGGGTGGGGGACAATTACAGGACTTGTTAATAAAATCTAACAATCATATAGTAAATAGTTAATTTCTAAAATGTCCATCAATTGTCTAAAAATGACTGAGACTTCATTGTTCTTGTATTTTCATAGAAAATGCATTGTATTTCTATTCTTTACTGTTGAATCCTCTTGTCTCTCTGCTGCCACACATTCTGCTCCTCACTAACGTCATATACTACTTATGTCAATATAAGTAGCTCACAGCACAAAATCACTTACATCCATCCAACTGCAGTCATGTTTCACTCACTAGAATGCACACAGCTCATTCATCACTGTCAGTTGACTGCAGTCTCCTCTGTTTCATGTGAGATGCCGTTTGTGGTGGATGCACTTCGTGGTACACTGAACGTTGATTGATCGACCGAGAAATGCACGAATCAATGCTTAATTGTGATCATTCCATTCATCTCAGTAAATCCTCTCACAACCACACTCATCATTACTCATCTCAACAGATACACATCACACACCTCATATACTACTCAGTTCGTGATCAAACCTATGCACTAGACTGCAACACCAATAGTCAAATTGTAGTGAACAATCCAATGCTTCTGACAACAAATTACAGAACCTGTTTATAAAATCGAACAACCATATAGTGAATGATCAATTTGCAAAATGACCATCAATTATCTGAAAATGGCCCACACTTCGTTGTTCTTGTATTTCCATACAAATTGCATTCTCATTCCACTGCTCACTGTTCGATCCTCTTGTCTCTCTGCTGCCAAACATTCTGTTCACAAGTATCGTCATATACCACTTATATCAATATAAGTAGCACACACCACACTATATTTAATTCCTACAAAATTTCATATTGTTTATTATATTTCAATTGAATTAACTTAAGAAATAGATATTTGACTTGATATTTCAGAAATTTTGGAAATTTTTTTTTTGTTTTTTTTTCACTTTTTTAATTCAAGTTTTAATTCATCAAACTTCTTTTTTTTTTCGTCGTTTGTTTTTCTTTTTATTCCAAAATAAGTTTTCAATAGTCAATGAAAAAAAACATCAATATATTGATGAATTAATCAAGAGAATATGTTTGTACCACGTTCAGAAAGTATTACATTGAATGAATTTCTATCTTTACCTCCTTCTGATATAAGTACCATACCATTACAATTAACAATTTATAATAATAATAATAATGATAATAATAATAATAATAATAACACTCCAATTGAACAAAAGTTTAATCATAAACAAAATATATCACAATCAATGAATTATCCTACATTCATGAATTATTCATCAATAAAACAATCAATGAATAAAGAAGAAATTAATTCTATTTCAAAAGAAATCATAAATCCATCTATTATAACACAAACTAAATTAAATGTTTTCAATAAACAACCATTAAAACGATCAAATACAGTTAGTGTAACCGATATAACTAAAACTAGAAATGAGAAATTCAATAATAATAATAATAATAATCATATATCAATTGATAATTTAATAAAATCTATTAAACAACCAAAAAAAAATTTACCTATCCAATATAATCAATTAATAAATACATTAAATGATACGGTGATTGATAATGATTATTTAATTCAAAAATTACATCAACAACGATTATTTCAACGAGCTCAAAGTGAACATCCTATCCGCGGTAGTAGTAGTAGTAGCAGTAGTAATAATAATAATAATAATGATAATAGTGATAATAATAATGTTCCAAACAGTCATAGTGTGAGTTTACCATCTCATACTTGGAATAATAATAATAATAATAATAATAATAATAATAATAATAATACTTCATCTACATTTCGTTCGATATTTTCACAACGTGGATATAATTTTGGCCGATCATTTTGGCAACAAAATTTTACATCTGATCAAAATGATCTAAAATCATCATTAGGTAGGTAAGTAAATAGAAATTTGTATATAAAAAAACAAACAAACTATTAATTATAATGTTAATAATCTTTGATGTATCAGGTTGACCATACTTTTTTTTTAATGTTCACCAAAAAAAAGGTACAATATCTAACGTTTTCAAAACACCTTTCCGTTCATTTAGTCAGTTAGTACAAAACCATACATCAGGATTTTCACAGGTGATTTCATTTCAATTATCTAATGCTATATATATATGCCTCCTATTGATATACCACTGTGGCCCATCCTAAACTGCAGGATGAGAAAACTAAATGAAGTGAAAGTTGGTCAGTCAGTGACAAAGTATGTACACCGGTTTTAAATTGCAATAACCTGTTAACATAGGGAGTTAAAGTTCTTAGGTCAAATTTAATAATAGTAGAAGTAATAACAGTATCAGTGATATTAGGGGTGATTGAACATTGAAGATACGATTCAAGAAAATATAAATGAGCAAAATGAAAACAAGAAGAAAGATATGAGAAATTTAGAATCTAAGAATTTTTGGGAATAGAAACAATGGATGCACATGCGCCATTGCAAACGATCGTTCAAAGTCTCTAACCATTGATTATGATTATCACGCGGACCCCAACCAGGTAGTCTATACCTAATAACATGGCCAAGTTCAATTATCAGTGTCTAAATGGCTTGAAAAATGCTTGATACCACATCCATATTGGACACAATAAAACAAATGCTCTTCTAATTCGCGGACACATATCCTATCTCGTTTTCTTCATGTGACTTTTGGAAAACGTCACTCACTTGCAAACAACAAGTTCAACAGCGCGTAAATATTTATTTAAATAATAGAGTGTACAATGTTATGTTCTACTTTTATCATTTATTTAACACCAAGAATTGAGCAACATGAGGCTATTTACTATCAAATGAACAATCATAGTGTAAATCATTCAAATTTACTGTCGTTAATTCAGTTACTGTTTAAAAACTCAACTGGAAAAATTCTCTGATCTTGAAAACGTTCGTTCACATTACTTCGGCTCTAAAGTACTGGAGTGTTGTGAGCTCAAATCTAGTTTAATAACTCTGAGCGTTTCCAATGGCATGATAATTCAAATAGTAGAAACATCTGTGTATACAGCTTCATCTTAATAATAATATTTAGCATATTCTTTTTAAGGTCATTGGGTTGAAAATCATAAGCACGGGAAGACTCTATTACAAAATTAACGTCAAGGCTTTTAATGATTCAATAATTCCCAAAACAATTACTTTAATGTTAAATAAGTTATGGTTTATCAACAAACCACTTTTTTTTTTTTACTTCAGCGTCTTTTCATGATAGTGTCATAGAGATCGTCTTACACAGATTGATTAAATCATTATGTGGATGATCTGTACAATAAATACATAAACGGGATAATTGACATCAAATTCAGGTGAATTTCAATAAATGTTGAGGTCTATTTCAAAGAATAATATATTGAATATAATAATTGAATTTTTAAAGCCAATCAGATGTTTTAGTTAGACCCGTAAGAACTGTACAGACGATAAGAAACTGGGACAATAATATTTTTCAGTTTATTCAATCAATAAACTTTAAACAAATTGTTCATTCAATATTTTCAGAAGGGATTTTCTGGAGATTTTAGAAATTTCAACCAGGTCTGTTGTGAGATATCAGCTCACTGAAGACAATGATATACGTGGCACAACTTCGTGGATTGATTAATATTCAATATTTGTTGATTCATAATTGGCGTCATTTTAGAATAATTAACAGATTTATTGTGTACAACTTCATTAACTTTAATATTGTAATCAGAATAAGCTGTACTACATTAGAGAAACTAGATTATTCTGGTAGAGAATAGGAAAATCGTCTTGTAATTTGTGAATATAGGTAGTCGATTAATTTATCAAGTAACCAAGTGATGTTTACTAAAAAGAACTGAATTAATAATGCAAAGATCTTAATAAAATCCAGATTGAATATGAAACTAAATTTCTGACATTTTGCGACCTAATATAAGTTTCTTTGTAAACAAATAGGTAACCAAGTAGAAGTTATAAAAGTCTATTTAGTATAAATGAATAAAATAAAAGAATTTTCTTCATGCTTCCCCCCCCCCAAAAAAAAACTTGTATCAGTCAAACAAGATTATTTATTCTCTGAAGAAGTAATTTACACTAAGTCACGAAACACCGGGAGTTTAGTTTTTTAATCATTAGAATATTATAAATCTATCAATATATCATCATTATAAACAGCTCGTTTAATTGTCAATCTATTTAAAATTATTTCGTTAAGTCTTGATGGAGATACATTCACTTGTAAGATTTTGTTCAAAATATACAGTTTGCACAATAAGTGGACCATAAGAAGTTTATTGGACAGTATATCGTGTACTTCAATATTATCCTCCTCAAAATCCTTCTTATTAATGACAACAAACCTTTCTAATCTTTATTTCCATTGTTGTATATGTCTTTGGATAACATCGGTAGTTTAACTTTCATTTGTCTTGTTGCTTTACGTTTTGTCGTTTACTTAATATCATTGCACGATTAACACCTAGATAAACATAGACCACTAAGTTCACCTTTATTCGAAAAGACAGGTATTTAAGTACAATCCAATCTTTCGTTTGTTTTTTTTTCATGCCTAGAAATGATAATCTTTATAAATCAGTTCACATATGTATTGGACAGACCGCACATATCAACATAATATGAAATATACACTTATAAAAACGATTACAAAAAGAAACAAACATTTATGCAAGTTAGTTATTTGAACAATGAAACAGAAAATTAGTTGAAGTTAGGCATTAACATCATTGGATGCTGGCTCAGTGGTCTAGAGGTTAAGCGCTCGCGCGCGAGATTGATAGGTCCTGATTTCAAATCTCGCGAGATGGGATCGTGGATGAACAGTGCTGAGAAGTCTTATACTAGGAAGAACTTAAATTCCATTTCATAGATATATGAACCAAACGATCAATAAATTGGCTTCAGAAATGAGGAGATACCAATTGGTGATTCTCAGAATAAATGAAACCCATTGCACCAAACCTGAACAGAAAAGATTGGACTCAAGAGAGATGCTGTCCTGCTGTAGTCATGAAGAAGAACATGCTCCACACAATCAGGCATTTGCATTGCTGTTGTCCAAAGAAGCACTTAAAGCACTCATAGAATAGGAATCTCATGGATCCACAATCATCAAAGCATTATTGAAATCATGGAAGGAAGGGAACACAATAAATGTTATACAATGTCATGCACCCACCAACGACAAAAATGATAACGAAAAAGATCACTTTTACGAGAAGCTTCAGTCGAGCATAGTAAAGTGCTCCTGAAAGGACCTAACCATCATGATGGGAGATCTAAACGGCAAAGTTGGAATGGACAGCACCGGGTATGAAGATATCGTGAAACGACATGGACTGACTGGGAGAGTACAGTGAGAATGGTGACACATTTGCAAATTTATGTACATTCAACAATATTCCCACACAAACGTATACACGAAACTACATGGGTCTCTCAGCGGATCACAACACGGACAATCACATCTACCATATTCGCATCACCGAAATGTTCAGAAGGTCACTGGAAGACGTGAGAACTAGGAGAGGAAATGTTGACGTAGCTTCGCATCACCACCTGAAGGTTGCCAGAACTAATCTTAATCCAAGAAAGCATTGGGCATCTGGGGAAACTGCATTACAGAGGTTCAATACAGCCGCCTTTTTGAGATACCGACAAACTCAACAAATTCAAGATGGCCCCGAAAAACAGAATCCAAGACTTAAAGGATATACTCAAAACAAGTAATTTGAAGCATTGAGGCTGACAAGCAGTAATACGAGGGAGACTGCATGCCGTCAGCAACAATCTACTGTTAAAGAGCACAAAATAGCTTCCAAATGAAGAGGAAACGGAAGTGGATAGAATATACATTGGGGAAATCACCAAACTGAATCACAATGCAAGCGCTAACTTGGAATCGTGAAAGGAAACGGAGAAGAGGAAGATCAAAGAACACACTGTATCGAGAATCGGAAGCAGACATCAAAATGATGAATGGCAACTAGAAAATTACCGGAGATTAATGCCCAGGATTCAGTTGGATGGATAAAGGCTGGTTTGCTGTTTATGTCCCTCCACGAGGAGTAAAATGCTTCGGTAACTAAGTAAGAATATGTCTTATTGTGGCGCCGAGCAATGTTGATTCTAATCTGGTACAAAAGAAAATTTAGACGGACCTGCTCACGTCATTGGGCCGTTGTGCCACATACAGTATCCCATGTTAGATTCATTCGCAGCCTGATAGACAAAGTTTGATCAGAACTAAAGAACTAAACTAATATGATACTGGTTACTAGTTAATGGTCAATCAAATATATGGATACATCTCAGTCCTAGAGGATGTAAGGTGTAATACGAATAGCTCAATAGTTATATCATCGATTGTGAAGTTAGATAACGTGTGTCCAAATTCACCATCAGTTCCTGTAAATCTACAGATACACCTTGTTGACAAACTTCAACTAACAAGAAGTTTTGATACTAGGCCTCTTACCTCTTAGTTTCCTGATTTTATTGATTGCAATATTTAATCATAACAATTTTCAGTTCATCTCACGTACTACACTAAGTTGTTTCGTTTGTTTGTTTGTTTGTTTTTTATAATTTTTAACATTTACTTATAGAAATATGTAAATTGTTTTATCATTCAACTCTTTCTATTTTATTTGTCAATCTAAATAAATTTGGAATAGTTAAAATTCACTTGAATAGCTAGTAGTTATTCTATTATTTCTTTTTACATACAATATCAGTGCACATATATCTTTTAATAATTGTGAAATGTGTAAGATGACAAAATAGAAAAACAGATTAATATCTTATCTTCTTCTTCTTCTTCTTCTTCTGCTTCTGCTTCTCCTTCTTCTTCTTCTTCTTCTTCTTCTTCTTCTTCTTCTTCTTCTTCTTCTTCTTCTGCTTCTTCTCTTCTGCTTCTTCTGCTTCTCCTTCTTCCTCTTCTTCTCATTTCTCATGTGCAAATCTACAAAAATTGCTACTGTTTATATAATTCAAAATAAATCTAAATAGTTTTTAAACTAAATTATGATAAACAATCATTCATTCTATATAGTTAGATAGTTGAATGTTATATATTTATTAGATTATTATTATTATTATTATTATTATTATTATTATTATTATTATTGACTAATTTGTAAGTGTCACAGCATGAAATCCAAAATTTTATTATACAAATAAAAGAATAAGTGGACTATAAACATTCAATCAGTCAATTATAAATTAACTTAATGAAGCTAGACAATCATGGAAAACCTGAAAGCACTAGACAACCATTTCGTCCTATTGTAAAACTCCTCAGTAATGTACACCTATGATCCCGTCTCGCGAGATTCGAACCTGTGACCTATCAGTCATTAATAAGAAGTAGTGACCAGTGGAGTTCAACCGGGCCACTGAATTTCGTGGATTAGTTTAAGTTAGACATTAACACCGTTGATTGTTGGCTTAGTGGTCTAGAGGTTAAGCGCTTGCGCGCAAGACTGATAAGTTCTGGTTTTGAATCTATTGAGGAGGGATCGTGGATGCGCACTGCTGAGGAATGAAACGGCCGTCCAAAGCTTCCATGTTTTTCATGATGGTCTAGCATCAATCGACTAATGATTTCAATTATTAAAATTAATATAATATCTACAAAAACCCTTCTGATAATTTAATTAAGAAAAAAATGTGTATTGATTTAATTTGTCATGATTCCGACCAATGTCAATGACAGGAAGTTAAAAAAAAGTGAACATTTTATTGGATAAAATTTTAAGAGAAAGTTAGAAGCCGTACTGATTCTTCTTATTCTTCATCTGAAAATTTGTCTCTTCATTAGAGATATAACCCTAGAAATTATAGTTCCGTTATATCGGTGGTCTAATTCAGTGATAATATACACCAATCCAATAAGGCATATGGAGTAATATCGCAAAGAATGGGAAAGAATCTTTATGCCAATGGCTGACTAATAATGTTTAAAACTCATGTGTATATATGAATTACTGGATCAATTCAAGAAGGAATAGCTGAGTAGTGACTAAGCTGTAACCATGCTCTGTTGAACAGTTCGCTTACTCACAATAACCTGACCACAACTCACTTATCATGTGAGTTTGAGATATAGTATGACATATATGGACTTTCTTGGACTATTAAATTCTAAAGAAATGAATAAAATGGACGACGGTAAACTATAAAATTCTAATATTACTAATACGTAACATTATTGAAACATATTACTGTAACTGGAATAATAAAGAAAAAATGTATTTGTACCACTGAAACTGATTATGAGCCATATTATCTGAGATGTCTCGCTAACTACAAAGAATTTTAAACCCGTAGAAAATACCATCTGAAAACCTTAACAGTGAACTAATTAATGATGATAGAAAAACTGTAAAGAGTTTTCATCTTGGGCCTCCATCAACTAGAGAATTTTTGATAGTTAAATAGAATTACACAAGAATTTCATCCTAGCTCCGAATAGTTTAGTCATATGCAAATACCAACACCTTTAATATTCGAACTGAAGATTTTATAGTTTTGTAGTGATAGTGTGGTGTGTGCTACTTATGTAGACATAAGTAGTATATGACGTGAGCACTGAACAGAATGTCTGGCGGCAGACAGATAAGAAGATCGAACAATAAAGAATGAAAACAGAAGGCAATTTGTATGAAAATGCAAGAACAAGGGAATTCTGAGTGATTTGAGACAATTGATGAACAATTTGCAAATTAACGATTCAATATATGGTTGTTTGATTTTACTAACTAGTTCTGTAATTGGTTGTTAATTACATTGGATTGTCCCCACTGGTGTTTTATTCACTACAATAGTAGTATGTCTAATTTCGCTTTAAAATTCTCCAAAGTACATGTTGTTTCAGTATAAGGTACATTTTAATTCCAAAGAATTATTGATTTATTTTTTTTCTTAAATGTTAGTCGCAGATAAAATGTAATTAGTCAATTCAATGTGCAAGAAAATATAGTTTCAGTTGTTTGATGTCACTAGTTTTCAAGTTCATCTGTTGCACTAATCTCAAACATGTATTCATTATTACTATTTTTAGTTCAGATAATAATCAAATATAAGAAAGGGGTTTTGTAGAGATTTTAGTAATTTTAATAGTTGAGATCATAAGTCAATTGAAGATAGACCACCATGGAAAATCTGGAAGCACTGGACGGCCGTTTCGTTCTATTGTGGGACTCCTCAGCAGTGCTCATCCACGGTCCAGTGCTTCCAGGTTTTCCATGGTGGTCTGACTTCGATTGACTCATGATATCAACAATTGAAATAATCAAATATCTATAGTATTACATTTATCGGAAAAATCATTTAAAAAAAAAACAATTTTCATTAGATGATAGTATAATTATGGATACTAAGGGACTGGCTTTACTTAGAAACAGTATTTATAATGATCATTGTGTGAAAAATTATGTATACAAACATCTACAAAAGAAGGGCTACTTTTATCTAAATCACTTTGCTTTATATTTAATTACTTCAACGACAGCAGTAACGTCATCAACGTCGGCAACGATATCTTCAACAGGAACACCAACACATTTTAATAAACCATCTTCTGACCAATACATTTCTAAAGTGATATGGAGTGAAAAATTTGTGGAGGAATTCTTAAAGAAATCTTTATTAACGACTTCAGCAAACAATGTGGTGCATACTCAAAATGAACCAGTCTATTTATCCAGCAGTTTTTCAGGTAATTTATTTTCTGTAAGATGGTTGATGATAAGTATACATTTTAGGGTTAGCGTGCTTCTTTGGGCAGCATTAGTGCAACTGCCTGAATGTGTGGAGCATATTCTTCTTCGTGACCAGAGCACAACAGCATCTCTCTTGAATCCAATCTTTTCTGTCCAGGTTTGGTCCTATGAGTTTCACTTACTCTGAGAACCACCAATTTGTATCTCTTCATTTCCGCAGCTATTTGATTGGTTCTCCCTGTTTCTCATATTGTTCTGAAATTTCATGTATCTATAATAGTTGTTGCGCTGATTGTTAGAATGGCCATCGGCCTCATGACTTCTGGAGAATTTCGTCTTTCACTATGAAGTGTCATAATTCTTCCCAATTAGTATCCCTTATTTATGATAATAGTGTTTAATTGGTTTAATTTGCATAGTTTTGCTAACCTTCTTTTAGCAATTTTTTTTGTACGCCTTGTGGTTGCTGACCTCACGCCCAACCCTATCCCTTTACCTAAGCTTGGGAGAGGTAGTAAGTCTAGATTAGCTACAGACGGAGTCAAAATGGGTTGTTAGCAATATCTAAATTTAGATAAAACTGAATGACGATCTGTCAAGCGAAACATCTACACTACAATTAGAAATTCGACTAATTAGTTCGTTTTTGACGTATAAACTTTCAAGTGATAAAACTTTGATGAAAAAATGTTAAGTACTTAAGTAATTTCATGAAATCATGAAGCTATCTAAGATAGAACACCAATGAAAACCGGGAAACATTAGAGTGGCGTTTCTTTCATGTATTGGATTCCTCAACAACCCGCATCCATAATCTCTCACAGAGTAACCGAATTCGGGACCCCTACTGATACTCATATGAATTTATTACAATAAAATCCATCAAACTGCTTGGAATTTTTAAAATATGTTGTTTTGGCTGTATTACAATGCTTATTTATGAAAGTTCTGAAACCTTCATCACCACGCTTATCCAGTCATTAATAAAATGGTAAAAAGTTCGGTCAAACCATATTAACGACAGCTCAGATTCTTACCACATATTCACATATTCAGTAACTTACTGATGCTCTTGTTCTTTGAAATCTGTTCCACCGGGTCTTGTTATATGAACAAATTATTGGTTTAGATAGTGTTCTTTATTTCATTAAATCAATCAAGTTGTTTTAATAGTTGGAGCATGTTATATTCAGTTCCTACCATGTTCCTATAGGTGGTTCAACCATCTAGACAAAGAAGGAAGTCAAAGTCCATACGTAGGACTTTGTTGTAAAAATATTTCAATACATGAACACATTCATAAGTTAAATACTAGTTCAAGTAAATCATGTGTTTAGTGAAATCGTCTAAATAAATAACTTGTTAGCAGTAGCATTCCCACACTTAGATGTCTGACACATCACATAGCTCTGAGACATCAAATAAGACATTTGACATTGTTCATTCTCTCAGAATAACTGGATTTTGTCCAACACTTTTAGGTTATGAAAAATTAGTATTATGATATGATTAATCTATATCAAATAGTATATATGATCGAAGTCTATATAATAACGTAAATTTCACATAAACATTATGGGAATTCTGTTTAATTTAATAAAGGTACAACTCTGGTTCAATGGTTTTGCCGACATATCATTAAATCTGGATGTCCTTGGAGTCATGGTCTAATTTCAGTTGTATGTCAACTTTGTAACTGTCTTTTACAATTGGGTGTTCTTAGACGTGATCTAAAGTCAAAAACAGTCAACTCCACATCGACAGATAATAAATCATTTCGCATACATAACATTAATTCATACAGAAGTTCCTCGAACTCTACTACAGAGATATTTGAGGTAAGTTCATAAAGCAATCAGTTTTAACTCATTTGAAAATATTTCTTAACAGTTTACAAGTTAATAACTGTTAGAAACTAAAATAATTAGGAATTTTGAGCAACTTTCATAATATTTTGATCTAGTCATCTTTAAGCGTAATTGAATTGTATGTCGGATAACTTATATTCCTGTCCAAACACATAAGTAAGTTAATGAAGACTGAGAAAACTGGTTGAAAGGTTTATTCAAGTAGTTTGTTTGATTAGTCAGTACTGATATTTTAAAATATTTGATCGATTGTGGTGATATCTAATTTAGGCAAAATCTTTACAAATTTAAGACTATAAAGTTTCGAGTCCTGTGATGAAATAGGATGAATTAATGATTTTTTTCTGGTTAGCGTTTTTTTTAGTGAGATAGTATTCTACAGGATGGGTTTGATCACCCCATGCTCAACCCTCCCCCATTATCCGAGCTTGAGACTGGCAGTAGCCCAAGAGGGGCTCCAGGCGGAGTGAATAACTTGACTGGATAATCACTACAAGTTTATTGATAAATTGAATACAATCAAAAGGTTACCTGAACTTTGAACATTGCCAATGTAAATGAATAACTTGAAGAAAAAACCGATTTTGATGTGTTATCTATTCCGGAAATTTTTCTCTGTTCAGTTATGATCGGTTAACAGATAGGTGAATTATTTACTTACATGACCAAAGCCAATTAATGAGGGATCTTCAATCAAATATGTTCATGGTACTACTTTCTAGTTGGTACTAACTTCTATTAGTGATATCGATGTCTGCCTCTGATTCAAAGCTCCATTTGTTCTTTGGTCTACCTATTTTCCTTTCCTATTGAGGATTCCGAGTTAGGGTTTGTCCAACGATTCAGTCTCATGGTTTCCGCAATGTGTGTCCCGTTCACCACTATCGCGAATTCCAAATATAATCCGTTTATTTGTGCTCGTCTTGTTCTACAAGCCCTAAATTACACATTGGCTCGAATAATTCTAATTACTATATAAAGCCAAAGAACAGATCAAATAGTCAGACACGAACGGGTGAATCAAGAGGATCATTAGAAGACCTAGCAGTTGCTGCGGAAAATCTATAAGAGAAGAAAATATAAGACAACTATATGACACAACGAAGAAACTAGCAGGTAAATATAGTAAACCACAGTGACCAGTCAAAGATAAATAAGGCAATCCGATCACTGAGATTAAAGAACTGTCGAACAGGTGAGTAGAGCATAATGAAGAACTCTTGAATAGACCAGCTACACTGAACCCACTGGACATCGAAGCAGCACACACACACATTCCTATAGATGTCACTACACCAACAATCGAAGAAATCACGATGGCCATCAGACAAGTGAAGTGTGGGAAAGCAGAAGGACCAGGGAACATACCAGCTGAAGCGTTCCAGTCGGACATAGAATTATCCGCAAACATGCTCCACATTTTATTCAGGAGGATATGGGAAGAAGATCAAGCACTGACAAAATGAAAATAATGAGATTATCAAGATACCGGAAAAAAACGAGACCTCCGCAAGTGTGATTATTACTGAGGCATCATAATGATATCTGTACGAGGAAACGTTTTCAACAGAGTGTTACTAAACCGAATGAACGTTTTTGTAGACATGCAAATTTGAGATCAACAGACCGGATTTCGTAACAATGGTTTGTGCTCAAACCAAATCGCGACACTATGGATCATTGTTGAGCATTCAGTTGAGTCGAACTCGTCACTTTACACCAAGTCTCTGAACTCTGGGAGGGCGTTCAGCATTGTGGATAGGAGACCCTTATGGCAGCTTCTTTGACAATTTGGTGTATCTGAGAAAATCTTCAACATCATCCGGAATTCACACGACTAACTACACTGCAAACGTGTTCATAAAGGACGTCTGAATAGCGCATTCCAATTGAGGAACGGATACAGAAAAGTGTGCTTACACTTTCCCTTTCTCTTTCTTCTGGTGGTTGACTGGATAATGAAGATTTTTACATCTGAGGGGAAGTAGGGAATACAATGGACATTCTGAATGCAGCTAGACGATTTGAACTTCTCAGATAACCTGACCCTTCTATCCCATATACACGAAAAAGTGTAGGTGAAGACAGCTAGTAAACCACAAGCTTCTGCATCAGTAGACCTCAACACGCACAAGGGAGAAACCAAGATCCTCAAATACAACATTGAGAATACAAACACAGATAAACTTGGTGGAGAAGATCTGGAAGAGGTGAAAACATCCTTGTTCCTGGATAGCATTATTGATGAACAAGGAGGATCGTATACAGACGTAAAGGCGAAGATTGGTAAACCGAGGGAAGCATTCTTAAAGTTGCAGAATATATGGAACTCAAAACAACTGACATCCATGTCAGAATCACGTTAGAATCTCCAATACGAACGTCGAGACAGTTCTACTGTACGGCGCTCGAACTTGGAAAACTGCCACAACCATTATCAGAGTAATACATGTATATATGAACAATTGTCTACGCAAAGTATTCAATTTCCGTTGACGGAATATTACCAATAACAGCATACTATTGGAGAGAATAAACCAACTCCCAAATGAAGAGGAAATTATCAAAGGACGTGAGAAATACATAAGACATACAATAAAGAAATCACCAAACTGAATCACAATATAAGCGCTAACTTGGAAATGTGAAGGGAAACGGAAGAGGAAGACCAAAGGACGCACTGTATCGAGAATTAAAAGCAGATATCAGAAGAATGAACAGCAACTGGAAAATTACAGGAAAGTATTGCCCAGGATATAGTTAGATGGATAATGCTTGTGGGCTGTGTATGCACCTCCACGAAGGGGTAACGGACGTAAGTAAACTCCATTCTATTTGATGACCTGTGTTTTCATTGCATTACATAAATTACATTATTTTTCTTATTGGCAGATATTTGCAAGTTGTTTTAGTAGCTACCTGTGTTCATGTTTTTTTCTATCCGCAGCGCCTAGTAAAGTTATCTCTTTTAATACAATATCTTACGTCGTTGAGTTTGACTGACACAAAAACCACCAAAGTGCTTCTTATACATGAAACGTTGTTTGTTATTTAATTCTAGTTATCCAGCATCAAGTTAAGTGTAATATCATTCTGAGGCGTTGTTTTCATTAAATGGTTGATTGTAGCAGATACTTTATGGTTAATAACTAGAATTTGATTACTTAACCATGGTCCGATAGCTTACTGTCAGTTACCAGAAAATAATTTTGTTATTTATTATTATACTATCATGGGAAACCTGGAAGCATTGGACGGCCGTTTCGTCCTATTGTGGGACGCGCACCTACAACCTCGCCCCCCCCCGAGATCCGAACCCAGGATCCAACAGTCTCGAGCGCGATCACTTAATCACTAGACCACTGAGCCGGCCGGCATCCAACTGTGTTAATGTCTAACTTCAACTAATCCATGAAATTGAGCTACACATCCACTACTGTCATCAGTGAGTTACTATCTCACAACAGACCTGGTTTTCTAGCTTCAACTGACTCATGATCTTAACCATTGAAATTACTATAATATCCACAAAAACCCCTTCTGATATTATACAACAGATATTTCACCATTGATGACTAATTCACTGCTACACCGTTATTTTGTTGGTAAAGTTAGTCATTGATTTGGAATCGATCTTTTGGTTTCGCAAACTATTAGTTGCTGTCTTAATCTGCGATCAGATTTATTCACTGATTATTAACTCATTATATTGGTCTATGGAAAATATCGTGGTATTATTAGGTGCACCAAAAAGTTAAAGCATACGTTTTAAGTGAAAATTCTTGAAATGAATCAAATCGAAGCAGAACTCAAGCACTGAATGCCAACGCGTAATTCGAAGTAGATGCATGTATTTTGAACTTGTATCACATTCCCATTCTTCCTTTTGCCTTCAATGAAATGACCTTTTCTATGCATAAATGAACTGATGTGTGGACGAGAATGATAATGATTAGTTGTTTACATAGTCAGACTTGTAGATAGTCTGACAGGTGTCCGATGAGTTATATATTCTCCTATCCTTAATATATGACACTCACTTATTATTGATTGTTCATTGTTGTTGGATTGTGTCGGATTTTTGGTGTGGAAATACATTTACGTTGTGGTCAGGCTAATCACGTGTCCTTGATCTGAGTTGTGTTGAAGTCCTATAGAACAGACACTGTGAGGGGACCTAGTGTAGATATCCGTCTAAGGTAAATTAACGTCCCATACGTGTAAACGTGGAAACCCAACCGTTGTAACATTAGACGAAGTAAAAACCGAGTTTTATAACAATTGGCGACGAGGCGAAAAACAAAGAACCAAGGGTACAGACCGCAAATTATAACATGAACATTTACAATTAATTTGAGTCTCTATTTAAACCAATCTTTTAAATATATTAGAAGTTAAAAACGATCGAGGCGCTTACATACAAACTATATATCAGTACATAAAATGTTTATGTTTAGGATTAGCAAGATTACTATAATCTGTAATTGAATACCTGAGATGGTCTAGTTCAAAATCGATTACTTCGGTATGGGGTAATTCATCGTTTGTTATCTCGTTCTTTTTTTTGAGTCAAATGTTTTATTTCTTTAACTCTATTGCCTGTTTATAACTACTATTTTTACGTATTAACTTTCTGTCATTGTTTTATAATGACGTATAACCATACGAATCGATGCATATTATATCATGTAAATGGCATGTTTTAGCTATCTAAAAGTGATTTTCAAAGGATGATGAATTATTACTATTATTATTGTGGCGAGACTCTAATTTATGAACGAGCCAATCAGAAGCGTTTTAGAGATATCAAGGTCACGACGCCAACTTCAGTGCTTAATGCTAACGTACGATAGGTTCACAAGGAATTTTGTACAAAACGCGATAACTGAACGGCTATAACAAATAAAACGGCGAGACTATAATTTGTGGATGAATCAATCAGGTATAAGATAACAGGTCTCGGATTTTAACGCTACAGCCTTCCATCCATTTGGCTAACTAAATTTCTGGCATTACAGCTGATGTCAGTTTCCTGATAAAAACCCCATATATGATTCCTAACCAGTATCGCGAACTGGATAATGAAAGCACCAGTAACGCTGACTGCAACTAGGTACTACAATATATATGGATGATTGGAGAGCGTACACACTCCTACATAGGCTTGTTTATGTGAAACGTGTCGTTGTCCACAAGTGGCATTTTGTGTATTCAAAAACCGAAGTGCACATAAACATTGAAACTATGTGGTCGAGGATGAAAGAGTTTTTGAGACTTTATCATGGCTCCAGAGGCTGGCTATTCTGTAGCCGTATGGATGATTTCCTCTACTGCATGCATTACGATTTTAGAACCTCTGAACCTCCTTCTAACCTTGACGTATAAGAAGTGTATCCACTTTATTTCCTTGGTTTTGTATAATATATTTTTATTCTATACTTACTATTTGCTGATTGGCTAATATTTTCAAGGTCAACTACGATTCGTTCAAAAGTTGTCCATTAATTAGAGTCTCGCCATATTGAATGATTGTCAATCTTATGTTAGCAGTTCAGGCATAGACATCTTACATAATGTTCATTATTTTCAATGTATATTATTTTCAACCATCATGAAGTCGCTGATTGTACATATTTGTAAGTTGTACAGCGAAAAATCGTAAACTTTCCATAAACTCACCTGAACAGGTTATGAGTTTAAAAAAAAAACATGATGATATGTTAAAACAAACAAAAGAAATAGATAACTTGTTGAAATATATAAATGGTAGAAATAGGTTGTCCAAATATTCAAACAAACCGCCAATTGATTGGTTAGTATAATCAGAAAGGGTTATGTGGAGATTGTAGTGATTTCAATCATTAAGATCATGAGTCAGTTGAAGCTAGACCACCATGGAAAACCTGGAAGCACTGGACGGCTGTTTCGTCCTATTGTGGGACAACATCGTTGGATGCCGGCTCAGTGGTCTAGTGGTTAAGTGCTCGCGCGCGAAACCAGTAGGTCGTGGGTTCGAATCTCGCAGGGGGCGAGGTCGTGGATGCGCACTGCTGAGGAGTCCCACAATAGGACGAAACGGTCGTCCAGTGCTTCCAGGTTTTCCATGGTGGTCTAGCTTCAACTGACTCATGATCTTAATGGTTAGTATAAGTCGTGAACTTTAGTGAACTGTACAATTTCTACTTAACCTTTTTATTAAAGTTAATTATTCAAAGATGACGACATTACAGGAAATTTCAATATTGGTGATGTGATGTAGTATCAGTTTTATTATGATAAACAAGAATTTGGAACGTTTATTGTAAATGAATTAAAAAGTTTGATAGATAGTTATTAGGGAATTGATGAAGTGGATTTATTTGAGCATCATATTCTGCGCTTATAATCGAAAGGTTAACACGAGATTATATTAAAGGATATTAGATAACCTATTCACTTAATATTACCTGGTAGTATCACGAAAAGATTATCCATTAGTCTTAGTGCCATAAACACTTGGATTTTCTCAATAAATTAGTTTGAAGTTAGTTACATTATTGATGACAGTAATTTCAAATGATCTGCAAAATGAATTCATACACTTTACAACTGTATTACTGATGAAGTATTTTGTTTACTAGACTGTCAGGTGATAACAATGAATAATTGTAAAATGAAGATGATTGAAAACATTAGGTGAATATGTGAATAAAAATCAGGTATTGAGGTTCTTATGTATTCATCGACAGTAAGAAAATAGGTATGCAATCAGTAGTGATAAGAATAATAGTTCAGCATAGGAAGTAAGTTAAACTTGGATGAATAGACTTTAAAATAATGATCATAAAACATTATCAAATTATCTAACAAAAGAAATATGTAAATAACAGAATATGAACGGAAAGAGGTAGGAAACGGGAAACAAATACAGAATATAAAATAAAATAATAAAATAGTTTATTCAATCATATCTACTAGGAAAGAAAATGTCAACAAAACATTGGCTGCATAGAATATCCTTTTAATTGCTATTTCTAATCTCTCATTTAGGATATCGCTAGTCACATCTCTGTTGAATTGTGATTTTGAGAATAACAGTTTATTACGAGTGGTGAATATCCACATACATGTACTTTAATAAAACTTTTCTAGCAGTGAAGCATAGGTATGTTCTAAGCCCAGATAATATCAATTATGGTAGCTGAAAAGATTGAATTTGTTCATTGTGGACATAGTTCAAAATTATTTGTGTTAATGATAATACATTTTAACAGTACAAACAAAACGAAAGTATGCTGTCTTTGGTGGATTCCTATTAACTTTATACATAATGAGTTTGTTTTGATCGAATAAATGATTTTCACTATGTGTTTCATTAGCTCACTTCATATATATTCTCTGTTTTCTTGTTTTCCGGCCAATGATAGATGGTATTTTGTCATGCACTTTAACAGAATGAGTAAGGTATAACTAAATGTACCTGAATCCACAAAAGCAGATATTAATTGATCCATATGAAACTGGTCGAATGTAAAAGTTAGTGTTTTAGTGATTGATGGTAAATATAGGTCGATGCTGCTGCAAAAAAAGTACATATAAAAGAAATTTTGTTGCTAAAATTTATTGTTAATGATTTCAATGGTTGAGATCATGAGTCCATTGAAGCTAGACCATCATGGAAAACCTGGAAGCACTGGACGGCCGTTTCATCCTGTTGTGAGACATCTCAGCAGTGCGTGTCCATGATCCCGTCTCACAAGATTTGAACCCAGGACTTATCAGGGTGGCTCAATTTCGTGAATTGTTTGAAGTTAGGCATTAATACCGCTGGATGCCGGCCGGCTCAGTGGTCTAAAGGTTAAGCGCTCGCGCGAGAGACTGATAGGTCCTAGTTTTCAGTCCAACCAGACGGGATCGTGGATGCGCAGTCCTGAGGAGTCCCACAATAGGACGAGATGGCCGTCCAGTGCTTACAGGTTTTCCATGACTCATGATCTCAACCATTGAAATTACTATAATATCCACAAGAACCTTTGTCAGTAACTAACGTGATTTAAACATAAATTTGTAAATCTTGATCTTTGTTATTTTTAAATTTAACTGGTAACGATAAGAAATATATGGTACTTTCCTTTCAGTATATTTTCTTAATATCATTTAGCTTAATATGGATTATGTATGGAGTGGTTATAATGTACAAGAAAATATAACTGTTAACAATAGTTCAATTAATGCAAATAATACTCAGCCATCATTAATTCAAGAACAACAACAACAAATTGATGAATATAAACAATTTCAAATGACCATTTATAATCATTTAATAAATCTTCATAAAGAATTTCAATATGAATTAGATCGAGTAACAAGAGAACATGAATTACAATTATTTAAGGTAAACATATTTGTCATTAAATTGTTTTTTTCCTTGTTTCTAATAAAATACTGATAGTTTATGCTGAGGAGTCCCACAATAGGACGAAACAGCCATCCAGTGTCCATAGGTTTTCCATGGTAATCTAGCTTCAATTGATTCATGACCTCAACAATTGATGTAATTATTGAGAAATTCTATTTAATCATTTAGGATACTTAATTTGCTAAACTGTAAAACATTTTTATAATTAAACTCTCTATTACAAATTTGACTGAACTGGATAAACTGGAATGGTGGTATTTGTTTAAACTCTTATATCATTATAACAAGAAAGAAATTCATTTATTCATTAAAAAGTGAAGAGTTTGAACTTTTCAGATAAAGAAACTTTACTTCTCAATAATTTCATTTTCTCAAGTTTTTTACACATAGTAGTCTATAAGAGAATAGAGAAGTTTTGAAAGAAAAAAATGATCGAATATAGTCAAACATATTCAAGTACATGTCAATAGAAATGAAGTGTTATTGTATAAGATAGTGAAGATTATGGTCAGAATGGAGGGACCGTTTTGGAGATTCTAGTCAGTTTAATAATTGAATTCATTTTTCTTTTATTCCATTCTGTCTAAATAAATGATTAGATTTAAATTCTGAATAGTTGGTTATTTATTTCTTAAAATTGATACAAAATGTAAGTACTTGTCCACAGAGCATCTTTTTTTCAAATTATGGACGATAATAACGTACAAAGTACAAGCTCTGTCGTTTCTCATGTTGTCACTGACATAGATAACATGTTCTTGAATATATTGTATCTGGTAGCATTCCAATCACTTGAAACCTTAAAGAGCGCCATCAGAATTTATGAAACGGCGACGTACTGCCATTATGCCGTGCGAGGTTCTCATTTTCATGGGGATCAGAAGCTGTATATTAAATTTGTATGTTGGAGAAATGGCCGTAGAACATTTAGAGGAACATCACAGCCGAATAGACGAAGGAGGTAATTTGCTTAGTGTTATTATCTCATTCATGAAGGACCGCAATGAATACTGAATATTCGGCCTACATCTTTCGTAAGTTTATTGAAAGTTACTGGACTGTTGTTCGTGGGATTGTGCATCACAATCATGAGTGCAACTCCCTGATGTACAACAATAATTATTGAATGCGTAGGTTAACGGACGTTGAATTTGAAACGATGCGATCTCTTCTGATTTCAGGGACAGCAGCATTCAATATTGTGCACTTCTCTTACCAATCTTATGGAAAGCGCCTGAATGTTCAAGGTGTTTTTTATCATGCTTCAGAAAGTGTTCTCACAGGCCACACTTCCTGGTGAGCAATGTGCCTATTTATATTGTGAACGTTAGGTGACTACGCAAAATTGAAAGCTCACATCATGTTGCTTGATGAGTTTTGTGAAGAAAATTGTCTTTTGCACTTCTTTGCAACTACTGATTGGATGAATTTAAAAACGCATTTTGTTGACTGTTTTTGACTGGACCTACAAAACCCAAAAAAACGAAAATTTGTATTTATATCGAGTAGTTGCATTCGATATGGATTTAATCGCCACAACTGTTTGTATTGCCTTTATAAGTCGCGAAACGTCTGCTTCGCTCCGTAATTCCTGTCATTCTTCAGGCGCTCAACTAACAATCGAAAGTCGATTAGTATTGTCACAGATTAATCACCTGCAACAGCTGCTACTACAACACATGAGTATCCAAAATCTCACCATATTTTGTGTCGCTTATACCTCATTTACAATGTCATAAATTGGGTAAGTTATTCATTGATTGTAAAGGATGCGATATGAAATTATACAACTGTTCTTCCATCACTATTCTCGACACATGGAAAGGATAATGAAAATCATTATGCTTCACAGTTTTTGGTAGTTTTTAAAGCTACCTTTCGTTTATTGAAGCATTGGACTAAACGTTCTACTGATATATGAGATTATTTGTTGCTGAAGAAACACAAGTTGTCAAATGCTTTTAGACCGGCTGAGACACTGCTTCAACAAAACAATGCGAACTTCGTTGAGACAACTCATCAAATCTTGAAGCTTCACAAGCTCAATAGAAAAACCTCTGTGCTCAGTTTTATATTCAATGTGTTTCTTCGGACTGGACATTGGATGGAAGCGCGAGTTCAGAAATACACAATCGATTGTTGCAACAGAAAAATATCGGTCGGGAGCCGCAAACAAGTCGTCTTCAAGAAAAACTTACACCTGCTGCCTGTCAATTATTGAAGCGTCACCTGTGCACTCCTGTGACAGAATTCATATCGTCAGTAGACTTGTTCACAGCTGTTGGCGTTACTGGCACTTACACGGTATCCCGAAATCTCATTAATTGTTCGTGTAGTTTTTCTATTGAAAACGGATCGCCATGCAGTCATGTGTTGGCTTACTGTACACGCACTGATGCAGAAGTGAACACTGAAGTAAATAGTGGCTACTGTCGGACAGCCATCTCACAAGCGTAGTTATTGACAATTTTTTCCCTGTCTACGTAGGACAGCCAAGCATCAAAAAAGCATTGTATTCCTTAGTAGGACGTATGTCCGAAGGACGATGTAGTGTTGTGTATAACTCCGCGCATCAAATAGTTTATGGAACGATGCCACCAAATCCATTGACGTTATCTCCAGCAACTGAGTTTTAGATGGAAGCCTCCAATTCCATGGATGTTACAATGCCGTTGATCCAACAGACGAGAAGTCCTAACTATCTAACTAACGTCTAGCAGGTTCAACAAGAAAATTCATGATGTCATTTACAAATGACATCAAAAAATTTAGATAATGATTTAATCAGACTGCATACTCACAAAACATTTACTATTGACATTAAGTAAAATAAATCTACCACTCACTTCCCAAACACAATAACTGATCTAAATTACTACATATACAGAAAAGTATTTTTTTTCGTCAGAATTATATACTGCTCAACTATATAGAATGGACAATATACAGTTGAAAACATTTTTCACTTTCAATGAATTTGCAATATAACTCAATTACAATCTTGCATTTATTAACGAAACCGTTTTCACAGGTAAATCCAGCAACTCTTTTCTATTATGAATCACTGTTGACGAAATCACAGTCATAAATATTATTTGGTTGAAGTTAGACATTAAGAGCGCTTAATGCCGGCCGGCTCAGTGGTCTAGAGGTTAAGCGCTCGCGCGCGAGACTGTTAGGTCCTGGGTTCGGATGTCATGAGGCGGGATAGTGGAAGAGTCTTACAATAGGACGAAACGGCCGTCCAGTGCTCACAGGTTTTCCATGGTGGTCTAGCTTCAAATTAATTATGATCTCAACCATCGAAATTACTATAATATCCACAAAAACAGTTTATCCCGATATATATTCACAGACATGAGTATAGAAGGGTAGTCAAATAGAATTAGTGTCTACTATTTTTCAGAAGTTAAAACTTTTATCTAAGCTCGGATGGAACAGTCAGACAGAATTATTTACTCAAAATAAAATTCAAATGTAAATTTGCAAATTCTCACATTCAATCAAACCAGTTAATGCTACTTGAATTTGAACTAATCAGATTAAAAAGATGCACAGTTTACAACCAATTAACAAATTATTACAGATGACAAAATGTGTATAAGCAAATATGGATGGTGGTTAACAGTGGAATCAAGGACGCGAGTTTACGAACAGAATGTCCATATGTTGGCAAGAAACTGATCAATTGCAGGCCTTAACAACAATGAGAAGATATAAGCAAAAAACACCAAGTAGATTTTAACAAATTGTTTGTTTATCATCATATGAACACACACTTTCTAAAACAAGTTTATTAATCACGCATTTCAACATTTTTTAATCATCAACAAGGGGTTGGGAATCTTAACTGACATACAATTAATGTCAATCTATAAATGAAATGGGCGAGACTCTAATTTAGGGACGACCTTTGAACGAATTTTGAGTGACCTTGAGAATAATAGCCAATCACAAGACAGCTAGTATAACGTAGAAATATATTAGAAGAAACTAATGGATTACAGTGAATATACTTATTTCAAGTGATTTAAAAACTTATCAAGGTTTGCTAAAGTTTCAGATGTTTTGAAATCATATTGCATACGGTATAAAAAGTCATAAATTCCAAGTACCTGTCGAGTATATTTACGGAAATGCTACTTACACAATCCTACTTTATACTACGTCCCCTGTTGTATTTTCGCTTTCTCACTGCCGTTTTATCTGTCTGCATGATACATCCTACTCCTCCAAATGATTGGTGTACGAGTGTTATTTTAGTTGCACGGCAGTACTCATACCACTGGACTGCTGAATTTTCATAAACAACTGCAAACGCCGCAGCCAGTGTTACTGGTGTATTTATTACCCAATTTGCAACTATTATCATAATCTGATTTAGTTTCAGTAGCAATCAAGCAAAGAAAGTCCCCGTTCTAGCAGACTTTCTCCTCCAACATGAAGGACAACGAAATATAATCTCACCACGGTTATTTGCACACTTTACTGCAGTCATTTGATAACCGCAATCTCACGTACAAGAACTTTTTAGTAATCCTATCCCTTGTAGCCTCTCAATAATCATCCCTTTTTTAAAATCCGCTGTAAACCGATCACATGTGAGCATCAGGTGTTAAACTTGGCTCTGTGACCTATAAACGGCTCAAACGCTTCTGATTGGCTCGTCCCTAAATTAGAGTCTCGCCATGAAATGGTTTTATGTCAGTAGATTCATGTTTAGGGTTACATTATTTAATGAATTAGATAAAAATCATCAAGAGTTTACATTTGATAATAGTTTCGGAAGTAACATGAGGTAATAAATTTTTACATTAAAAAAAAAAAAAAAAGATGTAGGTAAGAATTAGTACTTATGATTTGTAAAATTCAAATAAACTATGAGAGAAATTTAGTAATTTTTGATAGTCTTAACAATATATTATACAACAACACTTCATTTCAATTGACATGTACTTGAATATGTTTGACTATATTCGATCATTTTTTTTCTTTCAAAACTTCTCTATTTTCTTATAGACTACTATGTGTAAAAAAAAAAACTACCTTTAAATATGAATGTACAGCTTGAGAAAATGAAATGATTGAGAAGTAAAGTTTTTTTATCTGGTGAGCGGCCTATGCTCCTTCGCGAGGAGCAACAGGCATAAGTAAAAAAAAAAAGTTTTTTTTATTTTTAAAATCACCTTATTCTGTTGTAAATGGGTTTATGGCAAACTTTACTATTTGATATTGCTATTCAAGAAACTGAAATTAATTCATGCATTCTATTCAATACTCAGATTACTCAGTGGCATCGAATGGATCTATAAGCCTAGCATACATATCTATTATAAAGACTTTTTAGTAGCCTGTTGTGATTGCTTGTGGTGGCGGGATCACTATTTTAGTGGCCCGTGATCTGACTACAATTTGATCGTTGTGGAATTAAATATGCGCCTATCCTCGTATATAATCATTAACTTAAATTGCGTTAGTTAATAACGGAATTAAATAAGTCAAATAACGAGAATGGAGTTTTGAATGCATATATTTCGTATAATTGTTGATTAGACAAACGAACGGAGGAACGATGCGAAGATGAGAAAGTGAAGCAAAATTGACGAGCGGTGGAGATGGCTGGTAAGCCAACTCTCCCTTTAACAAAGAGTTAATGAATATTTATAAGCCCACAAAAATAAATTACAGACATGTGATGAGTAACGGGATAAGAAGTGTACATACGCCTACGCGCTCATACAAAGACAGTCAAGACATTGATAAGCGAATAATTAACAAGGTCAGAATGTGACTCAAATAGAATGAATAGAATGGGCTGTCCGAAAGTTAGAATAATAAGGTATTTGGGCTTAACATAATGACAGACACTACAACTTCTATTCTTTATTTATTTATTCCTGCATACTATACCAAGTTATTTCGACTTGATTGTTTGAATGTAATGTGGTTATAATAAAATTTGACGATATTAAATTTAATAGCTAGTTGCATTGTGAGTGTACAATAATATAAATTTATTTTATTCTTTCTATTTTCTGACAGTTTTCTAGCTGATTTCAATCCTTGATTAGAAGCTATCTTTTGATAGTTAGGTGTTTAATTCTTACGTTTTTTTGTTGTTGTTGACTATATCAGATGCACGAGTAGTTAGCCTTGTTTGCTTACTTACTCTGAGTCTATTTTAAGAAATATGCTCTTATTCACTATTGATCATTTGATGTGTACTTGGTCTATGTATGTTTGTATACTCTCTTAACTAACCAATTTTCTATCCTTTTACGTGGCATATTTTACACGTAACCTATTCCAAGTAGCCATGTTTCACCTTAACCAATTTGCATTCTTTATATTATCATCTATTTGAACTGAAGAATTTATTAAATATTTGCATTGAAAAATCTGGTATTATTCCTTTATTGAATCCCGTGAATACGTCTTTAAAAGTATATGAAATTAAACAGGATAATTATTCTATTAACATCATTATCATTCGATTGTAATGGAGTCAATGATGGGCATTTAATATTATACAAAATAAAAGATCATTTCAAACTGTTCGGTTCATTGTTTTATTGGACCGCGGTTGGATAATATCAGTCCGTATTGATATTTGAATACAGATATTATCAACTAGAATACTATAACTGGTTTTAATACATTACGAAGTAATAGTAACTGTCACTTCTACAATTCTTTAAATTTTGATACTTTTAGTTCCGTTATGGTTTCTCGGATGAAATCTTCAATTCTATGTATACATCAATTTTGATTATACAGAGAAAACTCCACATTTATGATACGAGATTTGAAAATTCAATAAGTCAAACATTGTAATAGACTTATTTAACAAATCTCATTTATTTAATTAACACTAGACAGGATACTTACTGTTAGTCTATTAAATGTCATGAATTCGATTAAACAAATTAGTAATATTTGGGATGTAAATTCTAACACTACAGATCATATTGTTACTAAATAAACATTGAAATTCAAGGAATATTAGACAATTATTTTATTCTATATTAAGAATGCTTATCAGTATACACTTATAACCTAGTCAGGCATTCAACTACAAGACATTAACTATTCAGTGACAAACATAACAATTCTTAACCTTATGACCACATATAACTAATAGGAAGTCATAACTTCAACATTCAGTGATAATCAATAATGGTAGCGTAATACTTAGAAACGAGTCAAGTTAAACATATGAATCACTAGATATCAACTTATAAATCTAAAGATAGAGAATATCACTACTGAACATAAAGATTTTAGGTTGTATCATTTTGTAACTGTTGTGAATGTATACTACTAAGAAAGAAACATATGCCCAATGCTATCTGGTTTATTTTATTAATTATTCGGTTAATATCAATTATCTTATTTATTTTATATTATCGTTAGGTAAAAAATCAAGGTGTTATGAAAGTATGTCAATTAACTGATAGAATTGAAGCATTAGAAAATCAAGTTGAAAAATATCGTATACTTGCCGGTATAGAACAATTAAATCAATCAACTATAATCAATAAAAATAATTCATTACATAATTGTTATTCTTCATTATTTACTCATAAAAATCGATTATCTAAAGTAAAATTTAATTTACCAAATGAAAATTTATTAAATCAATTACCTAGAAGAACAAGAGCATACAGTGAAACAATTGATATGAATAATATTAATGATAATAATAATAATAATAATAATAATAATAATAATAATTATAATAAACCTGATTATATAAAATCAAGTATGATACATATTTTAAATGATATAGAACAGTTATTATCACCAACGTATCAACAACAACAACAACAACAACAATTGGATCAACAACAGAAACAACAACAACAACAAGAACATCAATTTGATCATCATCATCATCAGCAGCAACAGCAGCAGCAGCAACAACAACAACAACAACAACGATCTCAATATTCCAGATCCAATTCAATGAAGCTATACAAATCTCATGAATTATCTCTTTTAAAAAATTCTAAACAAAAATGTGAATCTTTTAATATTCAAGAAAATGAAAATTCATATAATAATAGAAATCGTATAGATTTAAATTATCATTCATTTAATAATGATACTATTAATAATGGTAATAATAAGATTATAGAAGATAATGCAAAGTAAGTTAATATAATAATAATTTAATTGATTTTTGTCATAAGCAACAAATGTGAATAAATAATAATAATAATAATAATAATAATAATAATAATAATAATAATATTATTATTATTATTATTATTATTATTATTATTGGCTTTATTCAATATTATATCTTTGATAGAATATAGAATTTTCAGAACAAAGTATTTCAACAAGTTTCTCTTTCTTATTTCTTGATCAGTTCCTTACGATAAATATTGAGTGGTCACCAGTTAGATGTTAGCGGTTCAAGAATCGACATCTGAGAAATGTATATCCTTTTCGATGCATATTGCCAGTAGCCATGATGTAACATGTACAAACTCACCTGAATAGGTTATGAGACTAATAGGCATAATGATGTGTTAAAACAAACAAGAAAACAGATAACTTGTTGAAATATTCAGATGACAGGAACAGGTAGACTAGATATTCGAGCAGGCCGCTATTATTAGATTTAACTAGTAGGTATCTCAATACTGTATAATTCTGTTAGGTCCCGATAAGAATAATGAATGGTAATTTTGGGGATCCATTTATGGACCAGTACTAAATGTATATTTTTATCGTATAATTGTTAAATAATTAAACTATTCATATTCATGTCTCTCTTATCATAAGCTTGATTCTAACCTATGAACTGTTATTATACGATTTTCCATTCATTAAATTATGCTCTGTCTATTAGTCACTACCTCCTACGTTCGCAACCACATTTGGCCAAATCTTGTACAAATGTTGTTTCCTATTTTATGGTACGTTGTGGTCTGTTTGATTGGTGTATAAATCCCGTATGTTTGAAATAAATGATTCATGTCGCAGAGGCTTGGATTGGTGTTCTAGACTTAACTGGCTGAGCTAGACTGATAGCAGGACCAATCAGAACTCTAGGCTACTCGTACGGGTTTTACATGTCATTGGTTCGATCGATAAGTCACTGCTCTCTATATCACGGTCACAAGTTATGACAAATTCTAATTGAAATTTCTTCATTTTAGAGCTTACAGCTATACTTTTAGAAAGACTATCAATTTGGTCATTTCGGTTAAATTGTAAACAAATGTTATTTTAACTATTGATTAAATGGTGATTAACTGACAGAAATTAAGATGTACCCATATGAATAACAACGAAATGAAGATATTTAACACATTAGAATTCTACTGATAGTATTGTATACCAAGGGGCAATATGATTCAAATGTAATCTACTTAATTGTTGTTCTGTACAATTATATTGGCTCTTATTATAATTCTTGATGATGTTGTCTAAAATAAAAATGAATTTATAATTCTTATAATAACAGTTAAACTATTTCGACTACTGACTGAAAATCCAGTGATCATTGTTTCTAAGCTTAATAAATTTACTACATTATTGCCATGGCAATCAAGGGTCAATGAACATGTGCCTAAATGGCTTCAAAATCAATGTGTGTCAAACGATTCGATCAACGTGGATGGTAGAAAACCAGGGTCATCGATAGCGAAACATATAATTGAAACGGGGCACAAAATTGATATTAATGCAGCTTTTAAAACGTTGTATAGAAATTGTCAAGGACGAATTCTTAAGTTTATAGAAGCCTTGGCTATTCGTAAATTTAAGCCCCCTTTATGTATACAAAAACAATTTGTCGTAACCTTGAATTTACCTTGGTAATCCTTGAGTCATTCTATGGCATAGGATAATGCGACAATTTCTTATCCTTTCTCTCCCGTTTGTTATTTTTGTTTGTACTTTAACTTTCATGTAATTGACCTTTATTAATTTTCATATAAAATACCCTGACAAGTATATGTGTGACCAGATTATTCGAAATGTATAGCGCAAATACATCACATTTTCATATCAGATCAACTCCGTCTTCTCATTGTTCTATCGAAATTTATAAAAGAGACTAATTGCTTTAAATAATCACATTCAAATGTAACTAATCTCTCTGAAAGCACTTAAATTAAGGACTATTTATGATGTTTAACGAACAAATGGCTGGAAAAAAAAATACAATCTCACTGACTGTAAATGTTAATATTAAATGTATTGATACGGTAGGCTATTTTATTTTGAAACAGTTTTTCTTACTGCGGCATATAATTTTGGACTATTCTACTCTTATCCATTGTAATCACAACAATGTATATTATTAGAGTTGATAGGTGCAAATCCATAGATTTACATATTAATCCTTAAAGTATGTCTGGAATCTTGTAAGAACTGATACACGACAATCAAAGAATGCATATTAATAAAAGAGATCATTGAAACGGGGAATAATAGTTTTAATGGTGTGAAATAGGTTTGATTTACCTTCTTACCCTTTATCTTATGACCAATCAAAAACGTACTTTTCCAAATATATAATGAATAGTCTACTCTCAGTAAATCTGTTATTTTTCGAATTTGGTAACAATTTATTATTGTTATTACTCTAGTCATGTTACCTCGTACATCTATTACAAGCAGCTTGGATAAAATCTATTAAAAGGGATGTTTGTGTTTGTTGGATTCCCAACATATCAAGAGTTTGATAACTGATTTCAAGGAAATTGGATTTAGTAAGGGTGTGTGATTGTTATGTTGATGTTTAATTTGATTAACAACTGGAATTTGATCTAGATATGAAAAACAGGTTTTCAATGTAGCTATGATTTAATGTGCAGCGTCTGTTGAGCAAGCTGTTCGATATTTGAACATATCGATTGAATTTTTCTCATCTCTCTTAGCTCTATCCGAAATCTAATTGTGATCCATTGACTATTCACACATCGTATAACATTGCAACCTATACTTCTCTGTACATCTCTAAATATTCTAGTTTTTAATTTATTTCTTATTTCTGAATGTGTAACCAATATGTGCTAAAATGTCTCAGTCCTTACTATTCCTCACGTATTTCGAATCCGTTACAATGAGGTAAAAAATATATAACCTAGAATGTTGACTTCATGTACAATAGTTTCATTTTGAACTAATATCAAAACAAATAGAGACAAATTTTTTTATATATCATTACATTTTCACTACAAATACTTTATTGAAATTAAGTCTATGAGCTTGACATTTTCGGTGACCTGAAACTGTATTCACAAGTGATTGATTACTGGGTGATGACCAATGTTATGTGTGTCTAGTCCTTATTATTAGTGCAGATCGAATGCTATTGACCAGAGAGTACCAGTTCCCTCAAAGATTACAGGTACATCTTGCTGACGAAAGTCAAGTAGCATGAAATCCGTGTTCAGGGTTTCCTGTCGACTATCTCCAACCACCATCTAACCTGAAACTGTCTTTTGCTAGTTAAATTCTAACAACTATTTCAATATAACAGAATATATAATGAACTGTGATTATTTCTCAGAAGGAGGGTTTTTGTGGTGATTTTAGTAATTTTGTAGTTGAATTCATGATTCAATTGAAGCTAGAATATCATAGAAAATCTGAAAGGAAACACTGGATAGACATTTCATCCTATTGTACTACTATTCAGTAGTGTGCATCCAACATAATTAATTGTTTTATTTTTTTATGATTATTAAACATTTTACTTAAATTTCATGTCATTGTTCATTTTACACTTTTCACGTTTTTTTTTTTTTGTAAACTAACCTATATACTACAGTAAGATGAATAGTTTATCCAAACTCAACCATGATAATATACATCCATATGAAAATTCAATGAATACAACATTAGCAACTAATAAAAATAATAGTGAAATTCATCAAAAAATAAATTTGAGAAATTTCACACCTAGATTTTTATCAGTACCACCATATTCAAAATTTAATATAAATCAAACTACTTCTATATTATCGAATAATCAATCGATTCTTGGAATTCTAGCCAATTATGATGCAAACAATAAATATAATACTCTTAAAATATCTAGGAAAGAAGATCACTGTTGAACAACAACAACAACAACAACAACAACAACAACAATGATAATTAAATGCGTGAAAGATGTCAAAGGAATTGATAAAAACAGGAAAAATAACATAACTAAAGGTTAGTTATCGATAAATAATTTTAGAAGATATCTTTATATTATCATTAAAAAAAAGTTAAAGTAGCTAGGTGATAATAGAATTGACTATGTCCATCAAGATCATTTTTAAGATATCATATAAAAATTGATAACAACAATTTTTATCACACCCCTATGTAGCCTATTTGTTGTTGTTGTTGTTGTTGTTGTTGCTGTTGCTGTTGTTGTTGTTGTTGTTGTTGTTGTTGTTGTTGTTGTTGGAAATTCTGTTTATAAAACATGTTATTCTCATACAATCAGATGTTGTTGTTGTTGTTGTTGTTTTTTAAAAATTTTCTATGCGCTTTTATCAGTAACTTCCAGGTTTTCAATGGTGGTCTAGCTTATATCAGACTCATGAATTTAATTATTAAAACAATAATGATCCTGATATTTTTATGTGTTTCCCTATGAGTTTCTATCATGTTGAATCTAAAAGATGATCTATAATTTACATAAACATCGATTTACACATTATTCACTAACTTTATTATTACTGTCACTCTTATTCACACAAATAGCTGATCTTCTATCTATGAAATGATTGTGTATGATATATCTATCTGAAGTCAACAGAACATATGTAAAGTTAAATAAGATCTGGTTCATTAACTTCATTATTTTCAGATCATACAGGATCATTCTGAAGAGCCAACACAAAAAAAAACAGAATGGGTTGAGATACAAAGGACGGAAAGAAGTAGTTAACATTTCTTAAACTCTAAGATTATCACTTTTAGATTTCAATAAATATTCTAGCTTAGGAGTTAGAATTATAAGTCAGTTAGTCAGCTGCAACGTAGGACCAGGTACATATATGCATCGATCCAAGTTGCCATACCACATTAGCAGAACAAGATGAACACCGGATTCATAGAAGTAGTTAATTCAATGGTGGTAATATATAAAAGAAAGGTTATATATAAGGAGATAGTGCAGGAAGAAAGAATTAGTTCGTAGAAATAAAGATTTAAAGCGACTTTAATCTCCCAGTTTAAGGGAAAACAAAGAATGTATACACCGAAGCTATTGTGATCGATTCTGAGCTAACCATTGGTTACGATAGTTACGTGGACCCCAACCAAGTAGTCTGCATCTAACAACATGGCTCAGACCAGAAGCTAGTGACTTCAAGCATTGATACCACGTTCGGGTTTGGCCGCCCCTAACTTTCTTCCAATCATCCCCAACACCGGTTAGCGTTGCGTGTCGTGGTAATGGGAGTTCAGGCATACGCAACACGTGGCCCAACCATCTCAGTCGATGAAGATTCAAAACCACATCAACTGATTTACCATCATCCCTAAATACCTTGCGTCTAACCTCACTATTACTTACCCGGTGATCTTAGCAGATGCCAACAATATTTCTAAGGCATCTGTGGGCAGATTCTTAATGTCCATGTTTCGCGGCCGTAAATGATGAATGCCCAATAATTCAGTCGACGAAAGCGTTATTTCCATCAGTAGATCTATGATGAAATCTAACAAAAATGGAGAAAGTGGACAGCCTTCACAGACGCTACTTGATGTTGCAAAAGCAGATAACAGTTCGCCATATGCTCTTACTCGACTAGTAGTGTTCGAGTAAAGAGCCCTCACAAGGTTAATGTACTTCTGAGGTACGCCTTTCAATGACAGACACTGCCACAGAACCTCTCTCTCTACAGAGTCTAATGCTACTTTTAAGTCAAGAAAGACCACCAGACGCCGATAAGTATGCCTGTGTTCTAGAACCTGACGAATGGTGAATCTATGGTCGATGCATCCACGACCAAGTCTGAAGCCAGCTTGATTCTCTCGTGTTTGCTGTTCATGAGTCTTAGTTAGCTGTCCGATAATTATTTTGATATTAAATAAAAGGAAGCGCATAGTGTCTTATAGCCATGATTATGTTCATAAAATATAATTCAAACGTTAGAGTGACTTCCAAACTGTTATTATACAACAAGTAAATCGACCAACTTTTCAATACCACTGTTAAGATTTGATTTATTAAAAATAAAACAATTATTTAACGAAAATTAGAACATAATAATGTCAAAAACAATAGTTAAAGTGAATTGGTTGAAGTTAGACATTAACACCGTTGAATGCTAGTCGGCTCAGTCGTCTAGTGGTTAAGCGCTCGTGCGTGAGACTGATAGATCCTGAGCTCGAATCTCGCGAGGCGGGATCGTGTGTGCGCACTGCTGAGGAAGCCCATAATAGGACGAAACGTCCGTCCAGTGCTTCTATGTTTTCTATGGTGATCTAGCTTCAATTGATTCATGATCTTAACTATTCAAATTACCGTATATATGTTGAGAATAATTAATTTATTAATACTTATCTAAATTTGATGATAGCTTAAAAGATGAATTGAATTATGCAATTTACAATAAAATAAAAGGTCTTATTGTCCAACCAACTTGAAGTGCACATCCAAAAACACCATATACAACATAATCTGGATCACGCTGCAGTCAATGAGTAAATTTATGTTACAAACTGACTTTACTTCCTTATGCCTGTTAATCGTGATAGGGCGTAGGGCACCATCCAGTAATTCCCGGGATCTCCTCTGTTTTTAAGTCCTATTAGTTATTTAGATGTCTGTATCCAATTTGTTCTTTGGTCATCCTCTTTCCCTCTTGCCTTCAGCCCTCCATGTTAGGGTTTGTTTCATAATACGGTTTGACGATTTCCGCATTGTATATCCTAATCTTCCAGACTTTCCCTTCAGTTGGAAGATTTGTTCTTTTCCACAATTAGTTGTTGTTGATGATATCCGACCAACGGGTCTGCAGTACACATCCTTGCCTGATACAGGTTTTCATCTGAAATACATCTGTGAGTAGCTCACCACACACTACTGTGTACTGTAATCCGTCGTAAGAATTCCATATGATATGGAAATATTCCCAGGCGCTCCAAAGACGATTATACAAAGTTTCCTATCCATGTCATTGACTGTTTTGTCATGATCAGGGAAATTAATGAGTTTCAGTAAACTGATTGTTCAACAATGGTCCGCATCGTCTCAAATTCTTAGGTAATATGACGGATCCTCGCGAAAGCCAGCTTATTAATCGCAAGGATGGATGTCTATTGAACTTTTCAATTGGTCCAACAACACTCTGTTGAACACTTTATTTTGCACTGAAATTAGTGTGACGTTTCTGTAGTTCGCTCAATATCTTGATGAAATTCCTCTTATTTAAATATCATAGATCTTTCTTTATATGCTGTATATATAATGAGTGCTTAAAGAATTAATATGATTTTTATAGTTAGGTTATGAAATAATTTTAGCTTTTGCCATTGGTCAACTGTTTAATCCTAGGATGGGATTCCTCAGTAGGCCTCAAAAACAACGCCGAGTCCGAGGACCGAACTCAAGATTTTCAGTAAGATATCATCACTAGGCCAGGATCAACAAATTCACTATATTGCATAACCCTCATCAGTTGCTTGCAGTGGTTTGAACTTCATTAGTTACAGCTTCCCAATAGAACTCACGAAATGAAATCCAGAAGTTACTTACTTACTTACTAACTAACGCCTGTTTCTCGCAATCGAGCATAGGCCACTGACTAGCATTCTCAAACCCACTCTGTCCTGAACCTTCCCTTCTAGTTCTATCCAATTGTTGTTTATTCTTCTCATGTCTGTCTCCATTTCTCGTCGTAATATGTTCTTTGGTCTTCCTCTTTTTTCTTGGCCTTGAGGATTTCATGTGAGGGCTTGCCTTGTGACACAGTTGGGTGCTTTCTTTAATATGTGTTTCCTTCGCTTGCAGCATTTTCCGCCGTCATTGCTAAATCCTCCACATATTTACGTCTGTCAGTTCTGATGCCCCTCTTCACCTGCCTGTTTGCTTCTGTGTATTCAGCTTGTGCCTTGGCTTTCTCTGCTCTTGTTCGGCTGGTATTGATTACCGCCTTCTTGTTCCTCCTTTCTTGAACCTAATCCAGTGTATCAATAGTGGTGGTGCTTCTTGTGGTCCAGAACCTCATGACATGTTGAAGTGATTGCCACTTTTATCTCTTTCCAGTTGCTCTCCATAGTAGTTCCCTCTCCATCAAGTAGATCATGAAAGGCCTGGAATCTATTGCTGAGGACTATCTTGAATTTGTTGAGTTTGTCAGTATCCCAAAGAAGAGCCGTATTAAACTTTTGTGATATTGTCCACCCGGTTGTCCAGTGCTTCTTGAGTTTCAATTTCATCTTGGCGACCTGCAAGTGATGATCTGATGCTATGTCAGCTCCTCTCCTGGTTCTCACGTCCTCCATCGTCCTCCTGAACGTTTTGTTGATGCAGATATGGTCGATTTGGTTCTGTGTAGTGGGATCCGTTGAAGTCCATGTGGTTTTGTGTATGCGTTTATGTGGAAATATAGTCCCGCCTATGACCAGTTTATTGAAGGCACATAGGTTTGCAAATCTCTCACCATTTTCGTTCCTTTCTCCCAGTCCATGTCGTCCCATGATCTCTTCATATCTGGTGTTGTCCATTCCAACCTTGGCATTTAAATCTCCCATCAGAATGGTCAGGTCCTTTGTTGGGCACTTCTCGACGATTGACTGCAGCCTATCGTAGAGTTGATCTTTAGCGTCTTCATTGTAGTCGTTGGTAGGCACATAGCATTGGGTGACGTTCATTGAAATGCCCTCTTTCTTTGTTTTGAAGGAGGCTTTGATGATCCTTGGTCCATGAGACTCCCATCCTATAAGTGCATTTTGTGCTTGTTTGGACAGCATCAATGTGACTCCTTGTGTATGTGGTGCATTTTCTGCTTTATGACCAGAGTATAACAGAAGTTCCCCTGAAGCTAGTCGTTGTTGTCCAACTTGCGTCCAATGTTTTTCAACGATCCCAAGCACCTCCAGGTTGTTTCTCCTCATTTCTGCAGCAATTCGAAAGACTCTCCCAGTCTCCCACATTGTACAAACATTCCATATACCTAAATTAATAATCGTTCTGGTTGTCAGCCTCGTGGCTTCCGAAGGAGCTCGACTTTTACCATGAGGCATCATAACTCTTCAAAATGAAGTCCTTCTGATTCCCTGGGCAGAGTTTAATTGGTTTGAATAATTTTTTATGATTAGCGTTTTTTTTAGCGAGTTAGTTTTCTACGGGATGGGGTCGTTAACCCTATGCCCAACCCTCCTTCTTTATCCGGGCTTGGGACCGGCAGTAGTTCGAGAGGGGCTCCATGCGCTGTGAAATATAGAAGTTAGTCACTAGTTAAAAAAACGATTACTGCCAGAATACGGGAGTTAAACATTGGTCAATTGGTTAGACGATGTCTTACAACAACTAGTGTCCAGCGTTCGATACCTGGGTGTGGACTATGTATGGTCACATATTAGGACTAAACAACTATCCAGTGCTTTTAAGTTTCCAATATTGGTTTGTCTAGGATCAGTTCGATATTCAACTATGAAAATTCTTCAATCTTCTATACAGTCAATTAAATAATTGTTCTTATAAAATGTTTTATGATTTATAAGATAAGCATCTTAATTTTATTATACTTTTCCTCTAGAAATTGATTTTTAACTCTATATTGGAATGATACATTTATTGGTACTTCAATATTTACATATTAAAACTTCAACTATCTGGTAAACGTTCCAATGGTTGTTGTATCGATTACATTAGAACAACTGAGGTAATAATTAATTAATTTTCAATAGTAATAATAATAATAATAATAATAATAATAATAATAAGTTAATTATCCACTTCTTTTATTTTCATTAATTTCACCCATTTGTATTTTTTGTTTGCTTGTACACTGTACTGTACTGTACTGTACTGTACTGTACTGTACTGTACTGTACTGTACTGTACTGTACTGTACTGTACTGTACTGTACTGTACTGTACTGTACTGTACTGTACTGTACTGTACTGTACTGTACTGTACTGTACTGTACTGTACTGTACTGTACTGTACTGTACTGTACTGTACTGTACTGTACTGTACTGTACTGTACTGTACTGTACTGTACTGTACTGTACTGTACTGTACTGTACTGTACTGTACTGTACTGTACACTTGTAACTATTATATGATTTCATTAAAACAACAATTTTGTTTATCTATGGTTGATTCACCATGTTAGAGTGGAATTGTTTATTATACATCCAGTTTCTGTGTAAGATAATTTATTCTATACAGCGCTTATGATTATATTTATATCACTGTAGTTCTTATTCTCTTATTTTTATGCTACTTAAAGAATCCGAATTCTTTTTTTTGTTTTGCTTTTCAATGAATAAATAATGCATCAAACGATTTTGGCAATAGATTCTTATTGATAATTTTTTTGGGAGGGGGGATTCTTATTCTGTTTGTAAAATTGTTTTGACATAGCGCGCGAGACTGATAGATCGTGGGTTCAAATCTTGTGAGGCAGGATCGTGGATACGCAATACTGAAGAATCACACAATAGGATGAAACGGCCGTCCAGTGCTTTCAGGTTTTCCATGGTGATCTAGTTTTAATTGATTCATGATCTCAACTATTGAAATCAATATAATATCCACAAAAACCACTTATGATATTAATCAACATATGCTCACTAGTGACACGCTTCAAGAGGTATTTTCTAGAGTTTTAGTGAGAAATAGTAACCAGTGGAGTCCAACCGGGTCTGTTGTGAGATAGTAACTCACGAGAGACAATGATGGATGGTGGCTCAATTTCGTCGATTGGTTGAAGTTAGACATTAACACTGTTGGATGCCAGCCGGCTCAGTGGTCTAGAGGTTAGGCGTTCGCTCTCGAGACTGATAGGTCGTGGGTTCGAATCTTGTGAGGTAGGATCGTGGATGCACACTTCTGAGGAGGACCACGATAAAATGAAACGACCGTCCAGTACTTTCAGGTTTTCCATGGTGGTCTAGCTTTAATTAACTTACAATCAGCTAAAAACCTATCAAACTGGTATGATAAGAAATAGTGTAATTTCGACTAGGGTATCTCTTGTTGTAGAATCAAAAAGTTTTAAGTTTTATATTTTACATTATAATCAATGATATTGTGATTCAATTGTAAAATTAGCCTTTTTACTAGTAGAGTTAGACAAATATATTATAAGTAAAGGAAGATAACCTGATTCGATCTTAACATAATAATTAAGGTTCAAAATTTCTGTTTCTTTATATCTGGATGTTATTAACATCTATAAAGAGAATATCATGGGAGTGATAAAATTGAAATAGAAACTTGCATATAAATCTTCTCAACTAAACTAAATGTATTTCTTCGATTTATTTTACTCATAATAACTCAACATTTATTGGTACTTCAATATTTACATATTAAAACTTCAACTATCTGGTAAACGTTCCAACATTAATGTTACTTCATAAGTGATTTAAGCGAATAAACTAACACTAAATAATTGTAACTAGTGACATTTTAGTTTCTATCTGGTTATTAGACCGGAAGAAGTATAGAACTGATTTGAATCTGATTGATCTGTATTCACTTTTACTGTCTTATGGTATACGATAAGTTAGTATCCTTTGTTTAACAGGTAATAAACATTTATTTTGAATTACTCGAGATCGAAAATGTTTACTATAAGATTTTATTTCTATAAATTAGAGATATCGTACTCACTATAAACGTATAGATTAGAATCTGGGCGAATTCGAAATTGTATCTATCTGGCAAATATCATGTTATCTGGAAAAGAAAGCTAAGACGGACGACTACATTGTCTTCTGGATTCAAGAACTTTACACTATTAAAATTATTCTTTACAAGCTTAACCATTAGTTAGCTTTAAAGGGCTGATTTAAATCATCATTTTGTATTACAATCGGTCAATAACTAAAGTTTTTTTTGTTAATTTTTATACACAATCACTTTTTGAGGAGTAAAGTACAAGTAGTATAATATGACCTACTGTTTATTTATTTAGATACTTTTAATTTATGATTTCAGAGAATTCATTTTCAAAAAAAGAACTAATATTCTTCACCTTCTTCATTTTCACCTTCAGCATCGACACTGTCAACACCGACTTCTTCATAATCTTTTTCTAAAGCTGCTAAATCTTCACGAGCTTCCGAAAATTCACCTTCTTCCATACCTTCACCAACATACCAATGTACAAATGCTCTTTTAGCATACATCAAGTCAAATTTATGATCTAGACGTGCCCAAGCTTCTGCAATAGCTGTAGTGTTGCTTAACATGCAAACAGCTCTTTGTACTTTGGCTAAGTCACCACCTGGTACAACAGTTGGTGGTTGATAGTTAATACCAACTTTGAATCCAGTTGGACACCAGTCTACAAATTGAATTGTTCTCTTAGTCTTTATTGTAGCTATAGCAGCATTGACATCTTTAGGTACAACATCTCCACGATATAACATACAGCACGCCATATACTTTCCATGACGTGGATCACATTTCACCATTTGGTTAGCGGGTTCAAAACAAGCATTAGTAATCTCTGCCACGCTTAACTGTTCATGATATGCCTTCTCAGCAGAAATAACTGGTGCATAGGTAGCTAAAGGAAAATGAATACGAGGATACGGTACCAGATTAGTTTGAAATTCTGTCAAGTCAACGTTCAGTGCCCCATCGAATCGAAGTGATGCTGTTATTGAACTGACAATTTGTCCGATTAGACGGTTCAGATTGGTATAAGTTGGTCGTTCGATGTCCAAATTACGTCTAAAATGTAGCGGTAATAAGAAAAATTTAACATTTTACTAAAATGGTGGTCTTCAAACAAAGTAACCAAATAACTAAACTATAAATCTACCTGCATATATCGTAAATAGCTTCATTATCCACCATAAAAGCACAATCAGAATGCTCCAATGTGGTGTGAGTAGTCAAGATTGAGTTATAAGGTTCTACAACAGCAGTGGAAATCTGAGGAGCTGGATAGATTGCAAATTCTAGCTTAGATTTTTTCCCATAATCCACACTTAAACGTTCCATCAGTAAAGATGTAAAACCAGAGCCAGTACCACCACCGAATGAATGAAAAAGTAAGAAACCTTGTAGGCCAGTGCATTGATCCGCTAATTTACGAATACGATCGAGTACCAGATCAACAATTTCTTTGCCAATTGTATAATGGCCTCTAGCGTAATTGTTAGCTGCGTCTTCCTTCCCTGTTATCAGTTGTTCCGGATGAAATAGTTGTCTATATGTACCCGTACGAACTTCATCTAGAAAATATAGAAGCAATTCCAATTTTCAATTATTATTATTATTATTATTATTATTATTATTATTATTATTATTATTATTATTATTAACAATAGGCTATGGGAGAATTTATATTTTTAGAACAACTTTAAAACAACAGCGGTATAAATTTAATTTTCACATCCACTCCAGCGCTCATGAACATTTTTTTATCCCTTTTGCAATGCTCAAAACTTGTTGTCAGTCATTTGCTCAGTGAGCTCTAATGGTCAATCTCATTGTTTTAAAATTAGGTTCGAACGTTGTAACAGCCTGAGATAATTCGTTTCTTTTTATACATTCTGGTGAAAAGAAATAGTCCTCGCCTAGACATACTTAGTACATAATTTGATAACATTTTCTACAATAATAACATGAAAACTTGCTTGTCCATATATACAAAATGTACTAATTTGTTAAAACTAAATATGCATAGACAACTAGTTAACTATTTAAATATTTTTTGCAACAGAAGCAATAAATGTATCCGTTGAGTAATTTCACTCGTAACTGGATTAATGTAGATGGAAAACAGAATCATTCTACTACAATCTAAGTATAACCTAAAAGCAATATATTGGCTGTGGTACATCCGATTAGTTAATTGATAAACAAGAGTTGACATAGATTAAAATCTAACAACCAGAATAACGAAAATACCATAACTAGGATAAGAGCACGTCGTATTCAAACTAAAATTGATCACATTAAGGAGCAGTAAATCCCTTACTTTCTAGGTTAGTTACAGTAAACTGCAACAACCAATCATAGAACAAGTTTAAGTAAGGTTAGAAATGGTCAACTTCCGTATTATTTTATTGCGTAAAGAAGGTAGATAGATGTGAAGTTATTATAAAGGAAAAGCTGAACGGGAATAAAATAAAAAATAAACTATGTGATTGTACATTGTGTGTCCACAAAATGTCAAGATAATCAACGGTATAGGAAATCATATTGAACGGTTTATGTTAATGTTAACCTATAAGGAGAGGCTTTTATTTTTAGGCTATAGTGTATCAAATTATCATACAATTACTTACCTACAACTGTTGGTTCCAAATCCACAAAAACTGCACGTGGAACATGTTTACCAGCTCCTGTTTCACTAAAGAATGTATTGAATGAGTCATCACCGCCTCCAATTGTTTTGTCCGAGGGCATCTGACCATCAGGTTGAATACCATGCTCAAGACAATATAACTCCCAACAAGCATTACCAATTTGTACACCGGCTTGACCAACGTGTATTGAAATACATTCACGCTAATGTAGTGTGAGGTTAAAAAACACGTTTATTGTGAAACACGTTGTTAGTTTACATAGGTTAATAAGACAGAAGATGGCAATAAAGCAACTTACCATTTTTGATTAATCTGGTTTCAGACAAAGCTATCAAAACTGGGAACGACTTTAAATTAAAAGTGATCAATTTCTCAACTGTTTAAATACTCTGAATGAGTATTTTGTTGTCATAACAATAAATACGGTTACCA